TTGCGAAAGTGTGGGAAAACCCCAGAAAAAATAGCGACTTTTGGTTTCACTTGTGGGTTGGGTTGTATTTATATTTGTACAAACTGATCTCTCTCACGGTTGTCAAGAGAGTTGATGGTTCACAAGGACCGCACATGACGATATCTTTCATTTTGGGATAAGATTTAGTTGGGGTTTTATTACATAGTTGTTGGGCGTAGAGTTACTGTTTGAGATCGGATGGCTGAGACCAGCTTTTTGCATTCGCACTTAGGGTTCATGATTGTTTTATTCAGTCCCTTATATTTTTGGGTAAAATATACTTGGAGATCATTCAACTATGTAAAAATAATTTGTTTTGCTAACAAACTTTTAATATTATAAAATGACCATTAAGCATTTAAAATGATTACAAAATACTTTCTTTAACTTAAAACTAAACACATTTTGATAAGTTTAAAGAATACTTTATAATAATTTAATAAATTTTAACGACCATTTAATAATCATTCAAGAAGTTCAATAATCATTTTATAACATTTAGAAAATTATGGACTAAAAATATCAGTTTTAGATAGTTCAAGAACCTTTTATGTACTTTACTCTATTTTTTATATCAACTATAAAATCTTTATTTTATATGCATAAATGATGTATAACTCATTAAACAAAATAATAATAATTTATTAGTAATAATTTCAAATGAATTTGATGTTTTATGTGACCAAGAATGGTCCTCAATTACTCCTGAAAATTTTAAGTTATGATATATTTTAGATATTATGTTTTAATTTTTTTCATTGATAATATATTTTAGCTCGTCTTAAAATTTTATAGGTAAATCTCTTTCTAAAATTTTAAAAATCCACTCTTAATATAAAAAAACTTGTGTTTGTCCTCATAACTATGAATTTGATGCTTTTTTATTTCTATATTCGTTTTATTTTATAGATCACTTTCGAAATTTGTCGTTTCTTCTCCCAGTAATATTATTTCTAAGATTTAAACTTAAATTTTGTTTTCTCAATCTAACTCTTGTTTGTGATTTTAGTGTACATATAATATATTAAAAATATAAAATAATACGCCAAACTACATTAGTAATCATCAACACTTAACGTGTTTAAATTTTAATCACTAAATTATAAACATTTTTAGTTCCATCACAAAATCTTCAATCAATTCTATTTTAATCGCTCTTTATTAAATTATAATGTCGCAACGTTGACGGCGACATCATCATACCATAAGCATATCGACCCTTATCGGTGACTCTATGCAGGGATCACCTCAACGGTAATGAGCATAGGGCATCGAATGTGGCATCGACATAGGGATGTAGTGAGAGTGGTAGGTTGGATATTGGAAATATTGGAGTGCGTTGGTATTTCAGTTTTGGGGTTGGTAAGACGTCGTGGCATCAAAGATGTAATGGTTAGCTGTGATTTTAGTTCGCGGTTGAGCTTGAGAAGGTGTCTACGGCGGTGGAGGATAGTTTCATCAGCTTTCATGCCTTTTTCGACCAGTATTTACTTTAGAAACTTTCTTAATTATTGGTATATAAAGTAAAATTAATAAGATATACAAATATTTATAGAGAAAACTAAATTTGATCTCATAATTTACAGGTTTTCCGTTTCCCCTCAAACCTAAAAGGATGGTAAATGTATTTGGGAGAGAAAAAGGTAAATTTTCGTTTTTTACCCATTTTCCTTTCATTTACATGAGTATGATGTACTCTTTTTCCTCTAATTAAGATTATATAAATTTTTTTAATGAGCCTCATGTTTGTGTCGGTTTTGTATGCGTTATCAATAAAATCGTACAAAACTATTCTTTAAAAAAAACTCTTCAATTATGTGAATATTGGATTTTCTTAAAGCTTCAGAGGATCATCACTGACAAAAGAGATAAAGATTGTGCTAAAGTGAACAATTTTTTTTCTTTCTTTTTTCTTTTTGGTTTGATGGCAAAAGATACCCAACACTTTATAGCCGGTTACATGTATTTTTTGCATGCAAAAAATTGTAACAAAATTTAATTAATGATGATACGTTTCAAAATTAAACTGATAAATTTAAAATTAAATTATATTAATAAAACATATAAATATTGAAAATTAGATGTATAATTATATCAATAAAAAAATGACCACATCATTCTTTTTGTTAATAATATAACTATAAATAATCAAAACACAATTGATTGAAAAATTAATGATCAAATTGAATATTTTATAATTTAACAACCAAAACAAAATTATACTTATAAAAATGACCACATCATTCTTTTTGTCTAATTTTTTCCAAAATTAGATGTATTTTATAATTTGATAAATTTAATCATCCAATCATCATTTTCGTTAATAGTTAATAGTCATTGACTTGATTGATATCATTTAAATAGTTAAGCGAATTGATGAACAAGTTTTTAGTTTAAGGGTCAAAATAGAAGTAATGTATAATTTAGTGACTATACATGTAACTTGGCTTTCCTTGACTTGCCTTGACTTGCTGTACTGCGGGGCTCACACAAAATGGGTTAATAACATCTAGAAGCTCTCTGATTGCAAGTGGTGGAAAAAAAGGAAGTCCTATGCCCTTTTGATTTTTCGCATCTTCTCTTTTTCCTCGATGAGTAGTCATCAAAATCAGTTTCGTATAATTGATAATATCTAAAAGTGAAATTCAATTCGATTTTTGAGGGCTGCCATTTCAATACATAATTAAGAAAATCAAAGAAATAATTAAAAAATCAGCCATAATTATATGGGCTGAGTTCGTAATATTCCATTAACATGTGGTGTAGATTAATAATAAGCCATTGGACAAGTTGTTAGTGATTTGATATTGCTGAAAAACTGTATTTACCAACCAAGTTATATATTATATTCACAAAATAATTAATGATTAACTACGTGACAAATTAATTAATTGTTTTGATTAAATAAACAAAATATTTTTCAATAAAAGAATCGTTTGGATGATTTGTTAGTATCATATTTAATAAGCATCTTCTAATAACGGCCGAAATAAGAAATATCAGCAATCTTTTTTTTTTCTTTTGTGAATTAGCAATCTTTTATTCAATTAAATGTGATTTAGATACATTTTAGAGAGCATATTTAGATTGAATTTTCCTTAGCTTACAATAAATTAATCAAATATATTTTTAAATGTTCATGAAACCTAACAAATATTTTCAGCATAAAAGAATTTTAATCGGAAGTGATAATATCATTATAATTAGATTTTTTCATTGAAACATTGTTTAAGAACTCATCGTCGCATACAACAAGCATGTATCCAACTTATTGTTCACATCAACTAAATCATTTACACCCAATTCTCGACGTCAAAACATTGTTTAAGGTCTAAAATAGCTTGATTGATTAACATGACTATGACAACCACTTGAAGTCGAATGATCAGAGCGACCACCCTTCCATCGAGAGAGGTTGATTGAAGAATCATGATTCTGATTAGTTCGCTGCGTAGAATTTATTGTGACAAGAAGTGTGACTTGTTCAAATTCTTGGAGAAGACGCTCATGGTCAGTTAAAATCTCAGACAATTCAAATATTGTTGTTGGTGTGTTACACACATGAAAGACAACAACTATTGAATGATAGTCATCACATAATTGATTAACAATAGAAATTAATAGAACAGTAACAGAAACATGATAATTTGCCAAGGCAAGATTAGAGGGGAATATCTTACATGTCTTTCATGTAGTTGGAGATAGATCTAGAGATACGAGGATTGCGAGCCAGCTTGGATTTGAGAGCAAGAATACGACCAAGAGATGCACGAGCATAACTCGCGACCAGATTATCATTTTAGTTGTGACAGCGGATGAAATGAGGGGTTGAACTAGATCATCACAACTATCAAGAAGAGCACTAATAAAAATTTGATCTTGACAATACCATTGTAGATATTCAGGATTAACAATCTTTGCTACAACATAGGTAAACAGAGATGGGGAAGGTTGTGATCCATCAATATAACTGATTAGCTCAAAACCAATAAGAGGGGCCTCCACTTGTTGACGCTAAACATGAAAGTTTTCGGATGTAAGTTTGATTGGAAAGTTGGTCGGTGCATTAAGATACACGAGATTATTGGTGGTCGAAGACGAAGCCATGAAAGGATATCCGGTTTGAAAGAGAGCAAAAGAGGAAAAAATATAATCGAGTAGAGAAATTCTACTATCACTACAGCAAAATGGGTTTATAGCGGTATTTTTAGCGGCGTTTTTTGAACAAACGCCGCAAAAAACCTAACTTTAGAGGCGTTTGTATACAAACGCCGCAAAAGATCTTACTTTAGTGGCGTTTGTATACAAACGCTGCTAAAGATTAGTATTGTAGTGGCGTTTTTACACAAACGTCGGTATAGAATCGTTCTTTAAGGGCGCTTTTATACAAACGCCGCTAAAGACTCGTACTTTAGTGGCGTTTTTATAAAAGCGCTGCTATAACTCATACTTTACTGGCGTTTTTATAAAAACGCTGCTATAACTCATACTTTAGTGGCGTTTTTGTTTACAAATGCCGCTATAGACTCATACTTTAGTGGCGTTTTTGTTTACAAACGTCGCTATAGACTTGTACTTTAGTGGCGTTTTTATAAAAACGCCGTAAAAGACTCGTACGCTAGTGGCGTTTTTATACAAACGCCGTAAAAGAATCGTACTTTTGTGGCGTTTGTACCGCAAATTTACAGTTTTAAGACCCCTTTAACCCTTTTTCATTTTTTCCCTTCATTTATTTTTTCATTCCCGCCGTTTACTCAAACCCATCTGCTGCTTCTTCTCCAATGGGGGGCTCTTCTTCTCAACGCTTCGTTCAAACAAATTCTCACTACAAAAAAGGTTGCAAATGCAAAGTTGTCTTCAGTCTAGAACTGTTTGGCATGACGTTATCGAAAAACATTACCCCATTTTTGTTGTTAATCGTGAGGTATTTGGCATGATATTCACTGTTTATCTCCTTCACTGTCGAAGAAAGAAACCAAAAAAAAAACTTGTTAGATATTTTCTTTTTTCTTTAGCAAATCACAGTGTATTCGAGGACTCTCATATTTGTCTGCAGAAATCAGGTTTAAGTTAAACCTCTCTTCCATATATAATTTTTTCTTCGCTCTCATTATTGCCCTTTTCATTTGTATTCAATGTTTAGATTCAAATCCACGTAGTTATATCTGACTATCTATTATGTTATAAATTATTATTTGATTTCTCCTTTAGATTATTGAGTTTTGCGTTTAGCTTCTGGACAGCGGTGATGTTGGGCGCTTTAAGGAGAAAAGTTGCGACCGGAGGTTCATCAGCTTCGGTTAGAACTGTTAACCTCTTTTTATTTTAATTATGGTTTGTTCAGCTAAAGGATAAAGCACTTGGATTTTATTGAATTGTTTTTTCCATTTCTTTTACAGGTATTAGGGAAGTCCTTGCAGGTGATTCGGCCGAGCGTTTCAGCATCTAGAGTGTATTCAAATGTTGGAAAAGAGGTAAATAGTTCAGTTGAAATTGAATATGATTCGATAACCATGCTAGTGGTTCGGTTTCTCTTGAATTTTTATTGACGTCGTTATTTGTTGCTATTAAACCTTTAATTTATGTAGAAGATGTTTGGATTTTTATCATACATTGGTAACCATTCTCACGAGAATTAAATTTAACTGTTTGAACAGATTATGTTTCTTCAGCCGAGGGGAATTGTCCATGTCCGCAACTTCTCTCATCTTGTTCTACCAGGTAAATCTTTGGCTTTGTTTTGTTCTCATTTTGGTAAAATTCTGTTGATTGTCGTTGTTATTAATTGAAATTATTTCTTCATTATGAGTGAACTGCAGCTGGCTTGACAAAGACAAGGTTAGTTGGTAGTGAACTTTTGTAACCCACATCAATTTTTGGAATTGTACTGTCACTTGTTTGTCATTTCTTATCACGGTGAGGATATGAGTGAACTACAGGAGTGATATGATTTATGTAGGGTGATTAGCATATCTATCATTACTAGAAGGTCCATTTCAGTGTTAATTAGTCTACCTCATTTTTGTTTATCCAGAAACTATATTAGGCAGGGAAATTAGAAAGGAAATTCTAATGCCCGTGCTTTTTTTGTTCTTTAGATCAGTTTACCGCTCCTTGGCACTTCTTTCCCCTGACAGCTTTTCTTATGTGCAGGGATGTCATCTCTAGCATTCAGTCGGAGACTATCATGCAAAATTCATGCAAGGCTTTCTCTTCTAGTGATGGTATGATATTGATCAACGTCCTCTATGATATTAATTTTACCAAATGCCTATTAGCGTTTTTTCCTTGTTTAAACTGGTTACTATTATTAAAACATGGGTGTGGCATTTGGGGTTTTGTTAGAATTTAGTTCCTGTATATTCTAATTGTTCATTTGATGAGCAATTTATCTGGATTAGACCATTGGCAACTAAGTACTATCAAGCTCATTTAGCAGTTAGCAATAGGACCGGCTTACCAAGAGGTACTAGGTCAGGCAGTATGTCAAAATAAGAAAATAATCTTAACCCGGAGGTTGTTTTAAATTCTTTCTCTGCAAAAGTGTGAATGCAATAGTATGGAGATTTTGGGTGTAATTTTATCGTATAATGAGTTGGAGTAACACTATTGTGGTACTAGACTAGCAGGTCCTTGGCTTCCACGTTTTTGTTTCTGCTTGGTACAACCATATATTCCTTTTTTATGTTACTTTAAAAATTTTATTAACTTCCACATATTACTTTTGGTGAAGGTGATCTGGTTGATGCTGTTTAAAATGAACAATTATGGAGACAAGTTATTTGTTTCATCTTATACTGTATTTGAATATTGATCTAATTCTTACAAATGATATTGATGTAGATGGTTTCCTTTCTTGTAAAGTAGAGCTTGCTATGAAGGCTGTGCCAATCTTAAAGCAGCATTTCTTGTCACAGGAACAGTGCGGAAAATGGCCTTGAAAATGGTTGCAGACAAAGAAAAATGGGAGGAGTTGCTGAAGTTGAATCTCCAAGAAAATTTGGAATAGCTTTTAGGCCAGGAATCCAGCCAAATGGCATTTGTAGCTTATATTATATGCATACTAATTTATTTTTCTTTCCATATGTGGACTTGAACTCAATATTTTCGATGTAATGAACATCAAAGCTATATTACATTTAATTTTAATGTTTATAAATTTTAATTTATTTTGTTGTTAAAATTTATATAAAATTACATGATATTGAATTTAGGTGATGTATAACAAAAATGAAATATGCAAAATATCAATTAATCTTAGCTAAAGAATGGTAATTAGCGGCGTTTGTATCCAAAAACGCCGCTATATATCCGACCTTTTGCGGCGTTTGTGTCCAAAAACGCCACTATATGTCTGACCTTTTACGACGTTTGTTCTAAAAACGCCAGTATAGGTCTTATCTTTTGCGGCGTTTGTATCCAAAAACGCCGCTATAGATCTATCATTTTGCGACGTTTTTTCTAGAAACGCTGCTATATATCATAACTTTTTGCGGCGTTTATTCCAAAAACGCCGCTATAGATATCGACCTTTTGCGGCGTTTGTTCAAAAAACGTCGTAATAGATATTGACCTATTGCGGCGTTTTTTGTTCTCAAACGCCGCTAACTTTAGCGGCGCTGGTATTGCCGGCGCTTCTTGCGGCGTTTTTCCTATCGTCGCAAATACTTTTAGCGGCGCAAATACTTTTAGCGGCGCTTAAAAACGCCGCTATAAGACTAAAAAAGCGCCACTAAAACTCTGTTTTGCTGTAGTGTATGTTCTGATTACCATGGAAAGAATTTTTATATTTGATAAATGTAACATTTACAAGTGATGAGTATATATAGGATTACAAGGAAACCTAATCATACAAAGATAAAGAAAGTAAAAAATTACGCAAGACAAAATTGGATTGAATATGATTAAATTAGATTATATTAAATTAAATAATGTAATCTAATCTTTATCTTTAATAATGTACACCTAAAACCCTTTTTGTTAAGGCTAAGAAATGCACAATTTAAAGATTAATCTTTACTATATATATTACATAAAGTAAATTTTTTCAAATAATTTCTAACCAATAAAATCATAATAAAATATCATCAGTTAAAAAATTAATTTAATCTCTAATATATATGAACTATCTTTTATAATAAAAATATTTTAATCATTTTTAATTGAATTGGTATCAAATTTGTTGAAAGTATTAAAATGGTTTTCAAGTTTGGTAACCAACTTTGAAAAAATGGTTTTCAAAGTTTGGTAAATGTTTCTTTGAAAATAGTTTTCAAAGTTTGGTAAATGTTTCTTTGAAAAATAGTTTTTCAAAGTTTGGTAGATGTTTGTTGAAAAATGATAATGGGATAATCACAATTAATCCCTAGGTTTTAGGGTATTTACAAGATTAAGTCCTTAAGTTTCAACTATAAATACCCTAGCTCATTTAGCTTCAAGACCATCCCAAAAATCATTTCTTTCTCCCAATACTAGAGAGTTTTCTTGTGAGTAGTGAGTGTTTTGTAAACACCTGTAAATTTTATCTCTTAGTAAAAGATCTGCAGCAGTCCGGAGACGTAAGCACAATTGGCTGAACTCCGTTATCAATTTCGGGTATTATTTTTCCGCTTTTATTTTGCATTCTCACTAATCTGGTTATAGAGAAATTACTTGTACTTGGTTTATTTCCTAACAACTGGTATCAGAGCTTTTGGTTGTGAATTCTGTCAATTTTTTGCGGGGTTACTATTCATGTGAATAATGAATTTCGTGAATAGTGAAATTCGGTCGGCGATATGAGTTTGTCGACGGAGGTGTTCTAATACACGGCGGTTCGCGGAAATTGTCAGAAACGATCCAAACGAAGCCAGATTCGAGTGGGAGCGATGGCTGCAGACAAGGGAAGGTGAAAATTGAAAAGTTCGATGGTGCGGACTTTGGATTTTGGAAGATGTAAATTGAAGATTTTCTATACCAGAAAAATCTATATCAACCCCTCTCAGGAAAACAACCAGAGGGCATGAAGAATGAAGACTGGGCTCTTTCTCGACAGACAAGCCCTCGGAGTTATCCGACTGACGTTATCCCGCAATGTTGCTTTCAACATAGCAAAGGAAAAGACCACGGCGGGTCTTATGACGGCTCTCTCCAGTATGTATGAGAAGCCATCGGCCTCAAACAAAGTTCATTTGATGAGGCGATTATTTAATTTGCGGATGACGGAAGGGGCATCGGTGGCACAACACCTAAATGAACTCAACACAATCACAACCCAGTTGAGTTCAGTGGAAATTGAATTTGATGATGAAGTTCGAGCTTTAATTCTCTTATCATCTTTACCAGACAGTTGGAATGCTACTGTTACAACAGTCAGTAGTTCGTCGGGAAACAACAAATTAAAATTCGACGATGTTCGGGATCTGGTACTGAGCGAAGAAATTCGACGGAGAGAATCGGGTGAAGCATCAACCTCCTCAGCCTTGCACACGGAGTCCAGAGGGAGAACTTCATAAAGAAATTCAAATCGTGGCAGATTGAAATCCAGAAGGGGAAAATCAAGAACAGAAAATAAAGATTTTACCTGTTATAATTGCGGCAAGAAGGGCCACTTTAAAAGAGATTACCGAGCACCGAAGAAAAATACCGGCGCACAGGAATCTGCCAACATGATGGAGGAGACAGGTGATGCTATGATTTTAAGCGTCAACAGTCTGATTGAATCATAGATTTTGGATTCAGGGGCATCTTTCCACTCCACGCCATGCCAAGAAATCATGGAGAACTATGTCAGTGGTGATTTTCGGAAGGTTCATCTTACTGATGATGAAACCTTGAAGATCGTCGGAAAAGGAGACATCCGACTAAAGCTGCCAAACCAGACCACCTGGAAGCTGACAGGAGTGAGACATATTCATGGTCTCAAAAGAAATTTGATTTCTGTAGGATAGCTTGATGGAGAAGGATATAGTACAACCTTTTCAGGCTGTGAATGGAAGATTACCAAAAGAGCACTCGTCATTGCTCGTGGTAAGAAGACTGGTACTCTCTATGTAACCTCAAATTTAGAGAATATCATTACAGTAGCAGATGTTGATGGAAAATCAAACCTATGGCACCAAAGGCTTGGCCATATGAGCGAGAAATGAATGAAGATACTTCTGTCAAAAGGGAAGCTGCCGGATCTAAAGAATGTAGATGTCAGACTATGCGAGGATTGCATCTTTGGCAAACAAAAGAAAGTCAGTTTTACAAAGATTGGCAAGACACCCAAGGCAGAAAGGTTAGAATTGGTTTATACTGATGTATGGGGACCATCCCCAGTTCCATCTCTTGCATGCTCACTATATTATATCACCTTCATCGATGATCCAACAAGGAATGTGTGGGTTTATTTTCTGAAGAAGAAATCAGAAGTCTTCGATACCTTCAGAAAATGGAAGGCCATGGTGGAAAATGAGACTGGTTTAAAAGTCAAGCGGTTGAGGTCTAACAATGGAGAAGAGTACAGAGATAGTAGATTTAGAGATTTCTACGCAAACAATGGGATCAAGATGGAGACAACAGTTCCCATAACACCGCAGCAGAATGGCGTAGCAAAGCGCATGAACAGAACTCTGAATGAACCTGCCAGAAGCATGAGGATACATGCCGGATTGCCCAAATTTCTATGGGCTGAAGCTATCAACACTGCAGCTTACCTGATCAACCGTGGGCCCTCAGTTCCTTTGGATGGCAGAATACCAGAGGAA